CCTATGCGCGCGCGCGCACACACACACACACACACACACACACACACTCCACAAACGCCACCACCGCACTACCCCATGCAAAATCTTCTCCGGCCCCAATCCACACACGCATCCTGCCAGGTGGGCCTGCTGGGCCCCGACGGCAAGGACCTCCCCCTGAGGCTCAAGGGCGGCAGCGGCGACCTGGGCACCACCACGGTGCTGCGCTGCGACAAGGCCACCAACACGTTCGTGTTCGAGGGTGCGGGCGCCTCCTCTGCGCGCGCCCCGGCCTCCATTGCTGCACCCCAGGAAACGCGCCGCTCCGCCCCTGCTGAGACATCGCGTGTTCTTGTCCGGCGCGATTTTGGGCCGAGGAAGGATCCAATGTAACAGCGACCGCCTCGGCCCTGCCAACGGCGCGGCCGCCCCTTGCCGTGCAGCCGCGCTCTGTCGCCCGACGCTCCGTCAACCCCCCAATTCAACGCGCGCGCCCAGGCGTGGCCTCCGAGCCCGTGCCCAGCCTGCTGCGCGACTTCTCTGCGCCCGTCAAGATGGTGGTGGAGGGCCAGAGTGACGAGCAGCTGGTGTTCCTCTTCGCCAACGACAGCGACGAGTTCAACAGGTGGGGGTGTGGGTGGGTGGGTGTGGTGGGTGTGTTTATGTGTGTGCATGTTTGTGTGTGCGTGTGTGTGTGTGTGTGTGTGTGTGTGCGCGCGTGCGTGTGCGTGTGTAGGGGGGCATCAAAATGCTTATTCTCGTACATGGGAGAGTTTGTTCCTGGCAGTGATGGGGGCGGCGAGTTGTACGGGTTGGGGGGGGAACATCACGATAGCGACGACTTCAACAGGTGGGGGGCGGGGCGCGGTCGATTTCGTTTTGCGGGGGTGGGCGTCCTGGCAGTGAAGGCATACCAGCTTATGCCGTGTGAGAGGTGACGAGCAGTCACCTTGCCTTTGAGGCGTCTCGGGCGGCCTGGGCGGGGTCTTGATTCCGGGTCTTCATTGCTGCATTGGTTGTAAGTGATCACTATGATAACAAGGTCGGGCACAAGCGTGACGTTTTTGGGGGGTTGTGGGCAGGTGGGGTCTTCATTTGGGCCGGGGGGTCACTTCCGGGGTGATTATGGGGTTGGGCACAAAGGCCACGCGTCCAACAGGTGGTGCGGAGGGCCATGCCTGGGCGCGGACGCTGCTCGCTGTCGATGCACTGAAGCAGCGTCCGCTAGTTCGGGGATCGGCCGTTGCAACGCTCACAAGATTGCGCAAACTCTGAAAAGTTGCGAGAGGCTCGGGGGCCACGCTTGGTGGGGGCGAACAATCCCTCAGCGGCAGGCTCGAGGGACCTTTTTCACTCTCGCGCGCCCGCCCCAAGCTCGCCATAGCCTGCCCCAAGCTCGCCTCAAGTTCGGGCACAGCCCATTTCGCTGCGCAATATTGATGCAGCCGAGGGCGCGGGCGGGGCCGGCCGGGGTCAGGCCCAGATTGACCCGACCCGGGCCGCATCCGCGCCCCACCGCCCAACTATCATCTCGCTGCAGCACAGGAGGATTTGCAGGTTTCTATTGTGCTGTGTTCCATGCTTGGGATCCAACCTGAGCCAATTTTGAGGATTGTTCGGAGTGTGGGGGCTGCGCTATGTGGGGCGGATCCCTGAGCGCCATAAAGGGGAGCTGCGGGCTCCAGGGCACTGCTATTGGCTTGATTTGCGGCGCAAACACAAAGCCAGCATTCTGCGCCGCCACGCTGGCCTTGAGTTTGCGCGCGGCGTCGGGGAGGGCCGCAGCTCGCGCCTGCGCAACGCAGTCGGGGGCGGGCGAGGCGTGGGGCCGGTCGGGGGTCATGCGTTTGGGGTCAGCTCGCCCCGGGCCCGCGCCTCGACACCGCGACGCCCGCCCCGCGCCCATCAAAGGCGCGGCTGACGGCGCCCCGGCTCTGCGATGCGGTCCAGCGCGTCACTTGGGGTTTCGGATCGAGGGTATCGGGCCGCGGGTTTCGGGGCCTGGGGGTTGTGTTGCACGCGCCGCCGGCAGCGGCGAGGGGGGTCCCTCGTGGACAGTGAGAATCCCGGGCCACCAAATGGTGGCGCGCCGCTGGCCCAAACGGCCAGATGCGGTCGCTGCGCGCGGCCAGGCCGCAACACGTGCGGCCGTCCGCCCACCCCCTCTGCGTGATCAGCAGTAGAGCTATCCTCACGTGGGGGGGCGCCGGGGCAGACCGCGCAGCAGAGCGGTAGCCCAGGGGTCAACAGGGCACCACGCTTCCGGCTTTTTCTGCAATTCCCCGCCTGGCGGCACCGCAACACGCGGCCGCGCGGCGCCGTGCTGGCGGCAAACCGGGCGCGCGTCTCCGCGGCGCAACCCTGGAGGAGTGCAGGCGATGGGGGCGGGCTTTTTTTCACCAAGGGTCCAGGGGTGTTGTCCAGGGGCGCCGCCCCTGAGCCCTCGTCTTGCGGCCCGCTGCTCGGCACCTCGCCGGGCCGGCTGGGCATGGACGCGGTGTCCGACCGAGCCGGCCCCCTGCGATCCGCCGGGCGCGGGCCCCAGTGAGGGTGTGCCGGGTGCTGTGGGGTTCTGCGGTCTAGCGCACTTCGAGCCGTCTGTTGTCGCGGGCTGGCGTGGGCGTTGTCTCCACTGTTTCTTAGGGGGGGGGGGACGGGCTGGCGCCCTGCGCCGCGCAGGAGGGGATGGTGGGGAGGGGTGCGCGCTGCGCTGACAGGGCCCCGGGGGATTGAGAAGCTCACCGCGCGCGCGAGCCGCGCCCCTTTCGCGCCGCTGTCTGTGTGGCGGCCGCCCCGCCGCGCCTTCGGCACCCGCGCGCCGTGTGCGGCGTGCCTCGCTTGGATCTGCTGCGTCACGCCGCATCGCAAGCAAGCGGGTTGGCGTTGGGCGCAAGGTTGCGGTCCTGCCATCGTTGGAACCGCTCGTAAAACAATCCACAGAGTTGCGCGGGCCCCCCCCTTCAAGGCGGAGGAGGCCAGCCGCGCAAGCCAGCCGTGCGCCGGCCGCGCTCCGCGTGGGCTTTGTCGCGGCCTCGAGCGCTGCCCCCTGGGTTGCCGCTTTGCGTCAGATGCAGGGCCGGCGGCGAGCCTTCCCCCGCTGCGCCTCCGCGCTGACGGGGCGTCCCAGCCGGGAGCGCGGCGCGCCCGGCCGCCGGCCGCGCCCCCTGCGGGAGAGGAGGGTTCGCTCTGGCAGGACAGCCCCGGCCCAACCCCCCTTCCTGCAGGGGAGCGTGGATTGCGGGGCTGCCCGGCCGCCCTGCTTCTTGTTGTCCTTGGCATTGCACTGCTGCGGCGTTGGGAGGCTGCACGGTGCTGCGTCGCGCAGGCTCTGGCGCGCTCCTTTGTTGCTGCTTCAACCAAATACCGGTAGAAAAACGCTGGCAGGGCGCGCCGCCCCCGAGGGGCCCCGCGCAAAACGGTCGGCCCCGCCGCCTCGCGCACTGCCGCACGCGCCGCCGCTGCCACGGCCCCGCAGGGGCGCGGGCTCGCCCGCGGGGCGCCGCCGCTCCCCTCTCCCCGGGGGATTGGAGGGCGGCTGCTTTTGGGGGTGCAAGCTGGGGTCGTGCGGGGCGGCCGGGGTCTTTCAAACGTGGGATCTCACAGACCCTGGCTGCCAGCCCGGCCCCCCAACAGTGGCGCAGTGCGGCCGTTGGGCTGGCTGGCGGTGCCCTCTGCGGCTGACTGATGGGGGCCGCGCACCTGCTGCCACCAACCCCAAGCCCAACTCGAGTTAAGGGCGCAATGGATGGATTTTATGCACAACTGTTAAAATTAGGGTTCAAGGCATCCCGGGTCAGAGGCGGCGGCGCTCATCATGCCCTGCAGCTGGGTCCCGCCCTGCGTCACCGACGCCGGCCCAGAGCCGCACGCGTGCGCAGCTTGTTTTGACTGACATGCCCTCTGGTCCGCCCGCCCAACGTTTGTCGAGTCACAGCGGAGAACGGCGCGCCCAGCCATACCGGCTGCGCGAGGGCGGGGGGCACTTGGTTTAGCACCCTCCCGCTGCGACGTCCCCTGTTTAGAGCAAAACCCCCCTGCGCTCAGACCCCCCGTCACCAACCGTCGCACACACGTCGTTCAATCGTATGTTTCCGTTTTTTTGTAATTCTATGTCTCAACCTGGCTTCGAAGGACTGACCTAAAATGTTTGATCCCCCAAACCGCCCCCGCCCCCAGGTGGGACGCGGGCCAGCGCCTGGCCACCAAGCTGATCCTCGAGCTCTACGCAGCCGCGGCGCGCGCCAACGCCGACAGCGCGAGCGCCGCGTCGGTCGCGGCGGCCGCCGACGCTGCGGGCGGCGTGAGCCCGGCGCTGGTGGGGGCGTTCAGGGCGGTGCTCACGGCAACAGACATCGACGGCAGCTACAAGGTGGGGGCGGCGCGTGACCTCGGTTCTGTTTTTGACTGTGATTTCTGTCCTTTTTTTCTGGATTGTACAATGCTGTTTTTCTCACGGCACATTTCAACTTTTTCCATGTCTTTGTTTCCTGCACCGTGGGGCGACACAAACCTGTATTGTGGTGGGAATGGACGGGGCGGCGAGCAGTCGCGGGTGATGGGTGGGCGATCGCGTGGCACCCCTTTGCTGGTGCAGGAGGGCCGGCTTTGCGTGGATTATGCGGATCGAACAAGCCGGCCCCCCCGCCAGTTGACATCAGCGCGGTCTGAGGATGTGCGTGGCCGGCGCCCCTCGCGCCCACTCGGAGTGGTCCATCCACAGGGCCTCTGCCGCCCAACCGCGTGAGACCCTGCGACCCCCCCCCCCTCCCCCCACACACACCATCCCTCGCACGAACCTCTCTGCCTATCTCCCCCAGCCAAACGAAGCCGCCAGCACCCGCACCCCCTAGCCCTCTACCCCCCTCAAAGCGCCTGCCTGCCACTCAATCAACCTGCAATTTTGCCAACCAAGCTCCCACTGCCACGACCCGTACCCCCAAATAAGAAATCCAACCCTCACCACCCACACATGCATCTGTGCGCCTGGCACTCTGTCGACCGCACCCACCCCCCCAACCGTCCAAATCACGCAGGCCATGGCTGTGACCCTGCCGAGTGTGTCGGAGATCGTTGACGCCATCCCCCAGGCAGACCCAGTGCTGGCTTACCAGGTGGGGGGGTGGGGCCTGCTGTACCAATGTTTGATACTCTATACAGTTGCGCCAATGCAGGCAGTGTTCGTGTGGGGTTGTTCGGCTTTGGATGGCCCGATGTGCGCCGGATTTTGGGGTGTGGCTGGGGGCTGTGCCGGGGGCAGCTTTGCAGGCGGCCGGGGCTGATCTGGTCTGGTTGGTGTCATGTGTGTGGCGCGGCTGCTTGTTTTGTGGGTGAAGACACGGGCACGTTTTGAGGGAGGGGGTGGACGGGCGAACGTCCGGGCAGCCCGTCGCCAGTCCACAGTTCCAGGGCGGGACAATTGCGGTGCGAGACACCGATTTGGGGTGCACACTCAGCACCGCTTTGTCTTCGCCCCGGCCCGGTGCCTCGGGGACCCCACAACCCCCACCACACTCGAGCCGCCACTCCAAAACTCAACTTCGCTGTGAAACCCCCCTGCAAATTGCCTAGTAGCAAAACCTACAGGTTTTGCCTGATTTCGGCCCGCTTTGGGTGGGAAACCCCAAAAAGTACAGAAACCGTCCCCATTCGAACCCCCGCCACGGCCAGGTCCGCCACTACGTGAACGCGCGCCTCGCGTCTGCCCTCCGCCCCGAGCTCGAGGCGCTCGTCGCGGCCAACGACGACGACCCCGCGGCGCCGTTTGTGTTTGACGCGTCCAGCGCGGCGCGGCGCGCGGCCAAGAACAAGGCGCTGGGGCTGCTGAGCTTCCTGGAGGACGAGGCTGTGACGGCGGACCTGCTGAAGCGGTGAGAGGCGGGATTTTGCTGGTTTATTCTTGTGCGTTCGAGGCGGCTTGTATGCGGCTTTGGGCGCGTGCCGCTTGGATAAAGAATGAGTGCATGCTTTGGGGGTGTTTGTGGGGGGGGGACTCCCCCCTTCTGAAAACAAACTTCAGAACGCACCTCCCACCTTCCCCCCAACAACCCCAACCCCCCACCCCCGCAC